TTTTTTTTAATGTTTATTTTTAAGATAGGGAGTGCGTGAGCACAAGTTGGGGAGGGGCAGAGAGAGAGGGAGACACAGAATCGGAAACAGGCTCCAGGCTCTGAGCTGTCAGCACAGAGCCCGACGCAGGGCTCGAACTCACGGACCATGGGATCATGACCTGAGCTGAAGCTGGATGCTTAACTGACTGAGCCACCCAGGAGCCCCTGGTGATTCTGTCTTTAATTTTGTGAGGGCCCACCACACTGTTTCCCACCAGCAGTGCATCCAGGTTTTCCGTGCCCTCCCCTCCCCATCTCTTGTCATTTTCTGCTCTTTTTGATGGTAACCACCCTAACAGGGACGAGGTGGTATCTCATTATGGTTTGGACTCCAGAGGCTTTTTAAAAAAGCTTTTTATAGCGTTATAATTTTTACCTGATTACAAAAGAAACACCGATAACTTTATCTGGAAACTGTGACGAATACAAAAAAGATAATAAATATCATCTCGGAAATATTGTCAACACCTGAGGTCGGTTAAGCTTTCGTGTTCTCTCATGCAGCGTGTGCTCGCCACTGGTTTTTTTTTAATCTAGTAGAGGGGCGCCTGGGTGGCTCAGTCGGTTGGGCGGCCGACTTCAGCTCAGGTCATAATCTCACGGTCCGTGAGTTCGAGCCCCACGTCAGGCTCTGTGCTGACAGCTTGGACCCTGGAGCCTGTTTCGGATTCTGTGTCTCCCTCTCTCTCTGGCCCTCCCCCATTCACACTCTGTCTCTCTCTGTCTCAAAAATAAATAAACGTTAAAAAAAAATTTTTTTTTAAACTCTAGTAGAGGTCAGGCTATATGTACAGAATTTTATTCCTTTTCACTTAATCTCATGAGTAGTTTTCCCCTTCATTAAAAATTTGATATCGTTCAATTGTATAGTACACGTACTTTTTTTTTTTTTTGTAGTTTCAAGTTTTTATTTAAATTCCAGTTAGTTAACATATAGTATAATATTAGTTTCAGGAGTAGAATTTAGAGAGTCATTGCTTACATATAACACCCAGTGCTCATTACAGCCAGTGCCTATTTTATTTTATATTTATTAAATTTAATTTTGAGGGAGCGAGGCGGGGAGGGGCAGAGAGAGGGAGACACAGAATCCCAAGCAGGCTCTGTACTGTAAGCGGCAGAGCCCGGCGTGGGGCTGGAACCCACAAACTGTGAGATCATGACCTGAGCTGAAACCAAGAGTTGGACGCTTAACCGTCTGAGCCACCTCTGACTTCCTCTGACTTAGTTCGCTCAGCATAATACAATCTAACTCCGTCCACATTGGTGGAAGTGGCAAGATTTAGTCTTTTGAATGGCCGAGTAATATTCCGTTGTCTATATCTATCACATTTGCTTTATGCATTCATCCGTCGATGGACATTGGGACTCTTTCCATGCTTTGGCTATTGTTGATAGTGCTGCTATAAACATGGGGGTGCCTGTGCCCTCTCAAATCTGTATTTTTGTACTCTTTGGGTAAATACCTAGTAGTGCAATTGCTGGATTATAGGATAATTCTATTTTTACCTTTTTGAGGAACCTCCATACTGTTTTCCACAGTGGCTGCACCAGTTGGCGTGTTAAGAGGTTCCCCTTTCCTCCACCTCCTCCTGTACACATACTCTCTGTACAAAATACTGAGAATTCATTCCAGGGCTTTAGCGTCCCCAGGAGGGATGGTGGCAGGGCACGGGGCATGGTGCCCAGGCAGCCCCAGGTCCGCTGTGCATGGGCTGGGCAGGCAGTGCCCTCAGCCTAATAACAATAGCTGTCGCCTGCCATAGGCCAGGTGCTGTTCTAAGGGCTTTGCATATGTTAACTAACTTAATCCTCGTAATGACTCTAGGGGGAATTTTCTTATTAGCCCCATTTTACTGATGAGGAGACAAAGATCCAAGAGCTTATATCATTCACCCAAGTGAACCTTAAATCCAGATAAAAATCCAGTTAAAACGGGAGGCCAGCGGTGTGGCTCTGGAGCCCAGCATCCTGCCGCGCAGACCCTCGCAGGTTATCCGCTGTGGGGAAGGAGGGGGCGAGGCTTCATTATTGCAGCTCCCCCCTAGACCACATCGGCCCGCCAGCACGCTGTAGTAGGGGCCTCTTCCGGAAAAGCAGCGTTGCTGGTGGTGTTTCCAAGGGTGCTTCCTGATCTTTGCTTCCTGGAAGACTGACTGTGTCTTCACCAATGTCTCGCGCCCCGGCACCGAGCCAAATGGATGCTGGAGTTGGCAATTCCACAGGCCTCCTGTTTAGGCTTCTGCAAACCTGTCTCCTCCTCGAGGGGCATCTGGGACTGCCTTGTGCTCAGACACCTCCCCCCCCCCAACGCCTCTTGGAAAGCCCAGCGGCGTGAACTTAGTCTCTAATTGTGCAACTATCTGATGGGCTTCTGTTCCCGAGGCTTCTGCTGCTCTTACCCTTACATTTCCCTTTGAATTGGAAACCGAGAGCAGCTCACTAAGGGGCTGGTGTGGGAATCTGCTCCAGGCCACGGCTCCAGGGACAGAGGACAGACATCTGCTGGTGAGTGTCCCGTGGGCTCGGCCACCAGCAGAAAGTGAGTGGTGAGCGCAGGCTAACGTTCACCGTCTTGCCTCTGCCCTCAGGATGTGGGGCAACAGAATCGGTGACGAAGGAGCAAAGGCCTTTGCAGAGGCTCTGAGGAACCACCCCAGCCTGACCAACCTGAGGTAAGCGCTGCCTTCCAAGACCCGCTGTCCCCAGGGTCCAACCTGGTCACTCGGTTGTACCTCGTGGTTGCCAGGGAGGAGCCGAAGGGACGCGGGTGGTTGGCTTTCCTAAGAGAGAAGGTATTTGCGTGTGCGTGTGTGGGATTTTTTAAAGAACATCTTTATTGACACGTAAGAGGCATTACTGTTCGTCGTTCAGCTTGGTGACTTGACGAATGTACACACCAGGGTAACCACCACCCGGATTAAGACCTAGGCCATTGCCACGGCGGGGAAGAGACCTCTCAGCAGTCTGCCCAGGTCCCTTGGGAGTTGGAAGTGGGGTGGAATTCTTAAGTCCAGACAAAACTGGGTGGAAGGGATGCCATCCGTTCCACATTCACAGGACGGTGCTGAGACAGAGGGGGACCCTTCATCTCGGTAAAGACCTCCTCCTCCCTGGCCTTCCTGGAGGCCTCGGGCCAAACCTCGGAGACTTGGGCATCTCCGTGTTGCTCGGGTCCTTCCTAACACTGAAAGAGAGTCCAACATAGTGGGGGCAGTAGCAGACTTTCTTCTTTATGAGAACAGAGGAAACTTCTCCGGGTCTCATCGATGGGCACCTGGAGAACGTCAGCCACCTGAAGCAGAGCCCCC